ATTTTTTTAGAAACGCGCCATTTTTGCGTATTAATCAAGAAAGAAAAAATCGTTGATCTGCAGATGTGCCAAGAATATGTGATTGCGGTTTACTATGATTGTGTATTGCGTCCGCTGCGCGATTAGGCCCGGTCAGTTAGCGGTCGAATTTACTGGTTCTAAATCAAATCGTGACCCGCGTTACGGGTTGATCTTGATCGCGACGCTGGGCGATGCGACGCATTGCCGCCACGATTGGTCACGACAATTTGCCGTGGCCGTCTGGGAATCCATTGACACGCGTGATTTGTCGCAATTTGCCACGGCAATGTAGGAAACATTTCGGGGCCGGCCTTTGTGACGCGACGCCAGGTGACTTCTTCCTTTCGGGGCGTTCGCGTAGATCGGCTCGTGCTGCATAGGCACTACAAAGGTAGTAAATCTCGTGGTTATCCTCAATGGAGACGTCGTCGTTTATCTGCCTTCTCGCCATAACGTTGGAAGGTCTATTGGAACGGTTTACTGAAAGGCTATTTTCAGCCTTTCAATAAGTAACGCCGCGATATAAAAGTTGATATTTTTATAATAGAACGTTAATATCAAATATATTAAATGACGTAAACTCGTTGAGATAGCTTTCCGATTTAAAAGAAAATTGCGTTACCCGAATTTATCCGGTTAACACGGTCTCGTAACTTTGTTACGTCTATACCAATATACATTGCAGCGTGGAACGATATGCCAAACGCGTCGCTCGATAGCAATTCATTTAGTTGACGACACAAACAAGTTCGGATGTACGCGCCGGGCAGTTTCGTGGACGACGACCTAGGTGATCGATTAGGTCGCTCATTAAATGACGCTGACAACGAGCACGATCATCCTCCGGCATGACATCCTCGGGATGTCGGGGGCCAGGGTGTGTAGTCATGCGACGAAATCCGTGTACGCCGCTTAGGCGACACAGGCGGTGTCCAGCTGAGAGTCATCGGCGTCGGGTCGGTAGTCGCGTTTTTCATCGTCGTGTCGGAGCCTATTCAAGTGTTGGCAGTTTTTCACGCGGCAGGCGACAAATATCCCCACCAAAATCCCCCTTTGGATGAGTCCTCACGTGGTCCGGGATGTCATGCCGGGTCGCATCCTCGCCGGCAACATTCACCGTGCCGATCCCGTCTCGGTGACTTACCGAGTCGCGTGTACCGAGTGATCTATCGAATCTACGATCGCGATCGAGCGCGAGTGTTTCGAAAAGGTCGTTCCGGAGAAGAGAAGTGATTTCGCGCATCAACGACTCCACTGTCGTTTCCTCGCCGTGCGAGGTGATTTAATTACCATTCGCGGTTTGTGCGGGCAGTTTGACGTCCTGTCAATAGTGGATCGATGTTATATCATTACAGTTTGGCATTCTATCGAAAGATTTAATGACAATGCGAATGACGCTTTCACTAGGTTTTAATAACGCTTATAACTGATAGAGTGATAGGTCGGTTTACCGGGGAACCACCGTTCTCGTGACTGAAAAGACTTTGCGTGTTACGTCAGCGTTACGATTAATGTAGATATCACGGCGTAATCCAGGTTAAACCTCTACTCGAAAGCTCACGGACTGTGGCTTCGATGGGTGTGCGACGGGAATTCATCGCCTGCACCTAACGCCGAAAAGGTATATAGGCTCGGTCGTGGGCTTTTCCCGCGGAGTTAATCTCGCGCGACTGCGAGTGCGACTGACGCGTCGTGACGACGTAATCGGCACACGGTTTACTTCGCTGAATTCCAACGACGATGTAACGCAGTGGTCGGCGTCACGCTGATTTCGAAATTGGACTAGTCGATCGGGACAGAAGTGCAATCGAGCCGAACCGAATCGAACCGCGCCGAAGTGTCATCGACCTGTCAAATGTGTCCGTCGCAGATCGTGCGTTATCCTATAACGGAAACCGCGAGAATTCGCGGCGAAACGACATGCTTGAGTCGTTATAGCGGCTAGCTGGTCGTAATTCGTACGATTTACAATGCATGGACTGAGATGACACACCGAGGCGGAGACTCGCAGCTATGTCTACGGCGATCGTTGGGTGAGTTACGGCGATTTCATTCGCCACGTTGACATGTCTCTCGCGTCGTCCTCTGGGGACATCCTTCGGATTCCAATCTATGGCCGATGAATCGGTAACGAAGAGGGACCCAGGGACATCGTTACTTTTATCGCCCGATCGTAATACTTTTCATTGCCACTGCCTCGTGATAAAACTTGGAGAAATTCTAGAATGTTTAGGATTGATCTCTCTTATGAAATCGCATGCTTATCATTTATTATATACTTTCCTCGAAAGAAAACGATAAGAAAGCGCGTGCGCTCGCGTACCTCTTCGGTGACTTCAGTATTCTTTTTTTACACTCGGTTATTAATGGATATCGGTGCAAGACGCAAGTAACGAGCATTAACTGGATGCTGCGTCACGAAGTGCGCCAGCGCGACGCGTGACGCGCGCATGCCGATCTTGCGTGTCGGAATTTGTCACGGTCGGATTTCACGACGTCCCGGAATTTCGCGACTCTTCGGAATTCCGTGACGTGGCCACGTGTGTAGTAACGCCAACCGCGCCAGAGTCCAGCTCGGCGCCGCGTGTGTACGCATGCATCCCAGCCTCCGTGGTACCACGCTATATCGGTATCGAGACGCGTGACAAGTCTCTCTTCCTCCTTTCTCACTATTGAGTAAAAATTACATCGATTTATTATTTAAATTTCTTTTAATATAAATCTATAAATTTTAGATAATATCGAAATAAGTAAAAGTGACGATTACGAATTATTGACGTATAAAATGATTCGCACGGTAAACCAAGAATATATCATTCGATGCTCGTGATTAACGCGAGATAGTCTAGGCTGGAATTCTTCGTCCTCGGCACTCTTTCCGTCCTGATGACACGCGAAACATCTCACGGACATCTCGCTCGGACATTTTTCCGCCTTACGTAAGACGTCCCGGGAGATCCGAATGTTAATATATCCTCGCGCCTTTCGACGCCGCACGCCGGCGCGCGGCGATTACCTTCATCGCCGTACACCGGCGTGTATTATCGCATCCGAGGTGATCCACGGCTCTTAATGAAACGGCTAGCAAGAGGTTGTCAGCGGGACGTCGTTGTGACTAAGTTTGCAATTATGTAAACCGGCATCCCGGCGCGAGTGGGATACTCGTACACCTTGGTTTAGAGGCGGTGGTCTTCGTTGATGTGAAAATTGAAAAATTGATATTGACGCTGCTGACGTAAATTAGATACTTCGGTATGTGACACGATACGTTCTACAAGTGGCTCTCAGTGTAGAAGAAGCGAGAGTGCCCGCCGCGCCGGATGGCGATAGATCAAACGTGATCTATTTATATAGATCCTTTCTCGTGTATAATACAAATATTTTTTCCATAATATTATAAGTATTATTATTTTTATTTTTATTTTTAAAGAAAGAGCTTTTTCAAATCATACCTATAGTAGACGATAATTCGCAATGATATTAATCACGGTACGTGATTAGACTTCTTTCTCCTTAATTTTCTATTCCGCAGGCCTGTCTTTTAGACTTTTTTTAGAGGCGTTTTATACAAAAGAATCTGTTAGTTTAATGAAGTATGAATCATTTATTCATATCCAGCAGCAATACCGAATCCAGTTGTGCATCGAGTCGCGTCGCACCGCTGCCGCAGTCGCGCCAATGCAATTAAACCTCGAAACCCGAGTCGATTGCGTATACACCGTACCGCACTCCGCGTTACGACCCGATGTATATCGCGCAAGGAGTATGATGAATGCACGGCAGAAAGTCGTGGCGAAAATCTGTATCGTCAACTGAAACTTATGTCTTCTAGTCACAAATTTTCTATGTGAACGGAGATAATTTCTACGTGCGGAGATCGCACATGCATTGTCCGAAAAATTAGATCCGATTGGCGTTTAATCGCAATTCTTATAAGGGGTTGCGTCACGAAAGAGGGGAAGACTGAAGATAACGATGAAAACCTGATATAGTTGAGAGATGAAGGACGCCATGCTCATTCGCGAGGACGCGCGTTCGACAGAGAGACAAAGCGAATGTTTTAAGTGGATTGGGGCCGCCCAAGCGGAATTCCACACGGTACACCGAGTGCATTGAGAGACGAGGTAGGCGGGATGAGGCGAAAGAAAGGCACGTTTGGTCCACCCCGCGGTACCACGGGCGAGCCAATAACCCAGTCGAATTAAAGCGAACGAGTAGCGAAAGTTCGTATACCGGCGCGGCGTGGCCGCGGCCGCGGCCGCTGTTTCACCTGTGTTCTGTAACACGAGATGCATTTGCATTGCGCAACTGCTTGCGGCGGCTCGCCGCATGTAGCTCGTATGTAACTGGGTTATCATTTACAACCTGCGGCGCGGCGCGCCGCGCCGCGTCACTATTCTACGATTCTCCAATGCACCTTTCCCACACACGCGTTGGTAATATCGTTGATTTTACGTGAGATCTCATTCGCGTCACTTCTTCGCAGGCTGAAAACGATATTTCTGTGCCTTTAGGGATAATCACTATAATCAGTATTAATTATTCACATTTTTTAATCTTGTTTTAAAGTTTGGACAATATTGTTGATGTCGTTTAATTATAGAGTTTACGAAAAGCGCAATTATTATCTCATTTATTCTTAAAAATATTTATAAAATTTTTACAGCCATATAATTTAAGGTTAAGAGGCATATGATTTATGCGGACTTAGTGTAATCTATTTGTGACATCTTTTTAGTCCTAATTACCCCGTGCACAGTTTCGCTTATCAGTTACAACTTATCAAATGCACCTTGTATTTTCAATTTGTGCGATTGGGAGTAATGACTGCGCGAGCTTACTATATAATCACACGAAATTTATTTGCATACATGATTGCTTAGAATCGCCGCAAATTGGATGAAACGGACTTATTGCATATTCCATTCGCGATCCCGATCGGTACTTTTAACTAACGGGTATATTTTTGTTGTTTCCAGGTTACCACAGCTTGCCGTTTTAGCGAAGATTTTGTGCCTCCTGATGGTGAGTATTTTCACATATAATCTTTTCATAACATTTATAGAAATTTTAGTCTCACTCTTTCGTGCTACGAATACATGCATTTTTTCGTAATAAGTAGAGAAGTAAGTTAGAGAAAATTATCAGAAAAAATGAGTGGCTATATATACTTATGTCATAGTTAATTAGTAATATCGCCTTGTTTCGTAATCCGTGAAGAATTGAAAATATTTATATTATTAAGATTATCGAGGAATCAAATATAAAAGTACGGAAAACTCAATACTGGCACTTTTATCGCGCTACGATCGGTTTGTAATCTTATCTTTTCGAACGCGACCGACATTTGTAGCACGAGCCAATTGCATAAAGGTAATCTGATGATCAGTCGGCCTAGTTTCGCGGACGGTAACGAGCGGCATAGAGTTCGTATTATACCGAGCCGCAGTTCCGCTGAAGCCGCAAAATCGCCTACTTCCGTGCTCGCGAACGTATGTAAAGATATACGGCGAGGATGACTGGGTCAGATCTGAGATATTCCCTGCACGGGGAGGTCGAGACCCGGGAGAATCGCGTGCTGAAACTCGTGCCAAGAATCAAGTAAATCGGCGATTACGTCGGCACGCACCTTACCTGCCATAGATTAATGATCGGCGCTTCCACTCCTACGCGTTTACAGGCACTGACAATTTATATGGCCGAGAGCGGCGGCTGCCGGCTTTGAACTCATCTTAACTCATTGCGGCGTACGTTCAATTTCCCGCTGTGGGCGCCGCGAAGCGCTATAAGTTTTGACGTCGCTTGAATTTTTTTAAGTACCTACGACGGCGTTCATTACGGAACCGTTAGCTTGCCATTGCGTTTTGATTAAATGCGTGCATGATATATCGAGTTGTTCTTTCTCCTTTGGTTCTCTCATTTCTAAACTGTCTATATATATGTTACAATATATACTTGAACGTACTTTAACATACTTTAACTTATCAATTTTTAGTTTATTAAATTGTTAATAAATAAACTGATTAGCCACATTTGGATATTAATGCACTAAAAGTAATTTATTCGATTATTGATTAGTAAAAAACCTAGATTGTTAAATTATGATAATCTCGATTTGATAACAAAATAATTTTCGTCACTGACCAAATGTTTTTTGAACTTAAATATCATACAATATGAATCATTGAGTATTGTAGAGATTGGGCTCGCATGGCACTCGTCATTTATTACGCTTTCGAAATTGATGAAGATCTATGCTCGACTTCCCAAGATGATAAGGACAATTCGCGCGACAGTCTCATCGACCGGAGACTCGAATCGTATTTAAATGAGATTTATGTATCCTCGATACCGGTCTTGAGCGGTGCAGTAAACGGTTCGCTGGTCCAATAAATAATTAAATAGATGGTCGGCTTAATCGCGAGCGATAAATTTAGATGTCGCCGGTTGGAGTAACCGCATGTGGCAAATCGCGACGAGCGTATCCCGAGGCTATCGCCTTGACGATACGTTTGTTAGGTGAGAATTTAATGAACAGCCAATATAAAACTGCGAGGAGCTATTTGTGAGCTGACAATTGTCATCATTCGCTCGCTCGTTTCCTTATTGTTTGAAAGTCCTGCCGATTAAATGATAATGCGAATATCATGGTGATGATGCGGAATCAATTAGCGTGTCGAATTTTTATACGCGGCGCGTCGCGGACGAGCGCGATTATACTGCGTACATTTGCAACACAGAATTCAATATAGAATTTGTTGCGTGCGACAACGTCATAAACAGTTTCTGCGAAAGTATATATGATCTACTTAACTTTGTATGTTAAACTATAGAGAAGCTATCAACGGTGCTACCAGCTCTATTCGTCTCTTGGGCTATATATGGGCTATATACGTAAATACGATCCACCATCTCACGTATTAAAAGGCTCGTGTTACAGAATCAGGGAACTGCAATAAAATCCTGCAATGCGAATTTAATTGCTCTTCCCGTTCGCACATATTACTGTTCGTCGCTGTATGTACGTTCACTATACGGCGGTGTTATACCACAGCGGGATTTCCTTGTGATAAATTCTAAAGTAAACGTGTATAGCATTTGATTCTGACGCGTAATGCGCGAAAAATGTGAGCATCAAGAGTAATCAATTTAGAAATATTGACATTTAACTGCAAGGACGTGTTGCACACAATTTAGTATCATAATTTAGATGTTCATACATATTAACGAATTCCGTACAAAATTATAACTTATATTAGAAGAAACGCGTCATACATACCTACGATATCAACGTTCCTAATGTCACGTCTATTATATATGCAGATTCATGCGTCATTCGAGTATCGTGATTGTTTGATCGTGGTGTAAGCTTTCTACTTCGATGTTTGTCGGATTAACGCTCGTTGCATCGGCTATCATGGCATTGTCGGCGCCACTTTTGATATATAAACGAAACGCCAGTTTCGGCGACTATTAATGGATGGCTCGTGTCCGCTCGTTAACGAGATCTCTGCCATCAGCGTACAACCATCACCTCCGAGTGGCCGGCACGACGACTCTCCGTCTTCGTCCGACACGACGCATTTTTATCCGCGCGCGTCTATCGCGGGGAAGGATCCGCGCGGGCGGATCAAGGAATGACTCGATGTCGTGATATGTGAACCGACCGTAAAAGCGTTCTTCTCAAGCGGCCGTGGAAGAATTTCGACGTTCTTAACGACTCTCCGTTCGGTCGTTGTTCTGAAAACATGCCACGCGAATTCTTATCCCGCCAGCTTTGTCGTTATATTCAACGAGAGATAAACTATCAGATAATTCGCGACGGATAATATAAAGCGCGATTCTAATTTTGGACCGAGTTGCTTTTTTTCCTCTTTATAATCTCTTCATGTTTGCACCTCTCTCTTTTATTTAATGTAATATGCCAGCGAATAATTAAATATCGCAGATAAAATGTAATTTATAATTCCGGACTGAAGAAACACTACCATAAAACGGACATTTTGAATATTCATAAATCTTGGATTTTATATAAATTGTAAAATTGATTTGATTTGAGACATTAGAAGCACTGCTGTTGAAGTCATTTGCTAATTTTTTTTCTTCTGGAACGTCTTGATTTGCGATTCGTTTAAAGAGATTATTTGAGCATCTTATATAAAGCAACTTGCCAATTTCTTTATTGGCGTGGCTAAGAAATTTTGGAATATACGGGAGGCTTTTCTAATTGCAGGTGGTGATGTGCGGGGCGGTGCCGGCGATGGTGCGCTCCGTGAGTCTCTACTCGACGTGCAGCAGCGGCAATGTTACCGTAATAGGCCGCTCGATCAAAGCCATGGGACGCGACGATCACAATGCACCCTACCGTAAGTAAGACCGCAAAAATCATTATGCCTCACTTGTTGCTAATATAATTTAGATGCGATAGATAAAACATTTATTTTAATGAAGAGTACCTACTATTTTGTGGCTGTTATAACACTTTGTTGTTTTTTTTCCGAAATATCTTCCAAATTTTGCGGAAATAATTCAAGATATTTTTGTATCCATTATATTTCCATAATTTTTTTACATTTTATAATAAAAAGATGCTTTCTTGAAATGTGATTAAATCATTAAAATAAATTTCTCTTTCCGAAAGATTTCTCTTATCACAGCTGTGAAACTTGCGAATACTTAGCTTAAGATAATACAAAATTTATTAATTATATTGTCAATTGATTATTAAATGCTCTATATGTTTGACATATGATTTGCATACTAATTATCTCTAAAGTGAAAGAGATACTATGGTACTCGTAGTATAATAAGACTATCTGGAATAAGATAATTAAATATGTTAATCGAATCGAGTTAGCATTTCTTTATCATTTCGATAGACAGTTTTGCCCACAAGAAAAGGATTTTTATCCGGGTACGATGCAGTAAAGAATTTAATTTATTGTGATTCTTATCGATCGACCTCGGTAGGTCAGGAACCTTATCTCTCTCGTTTTCGCTATCGAATGTCTCTACGGCGGGGTCTTCCGGGATGAATTTCCATTTTTACGAACTAATAATTGCAGTCCTATTTCCGCGAACAGTGCGTCGGACGCACAAATATCGTAGAAGAAATAAAAGGAGTAAAAGAAGACGGCCACTGAGGAGTCTCGATGAATTACGACGTACTTTTATCCCGTCTTGATTGTTTTCGGCTAGACACTCTCGTCGTTTGCTTTATCGTGCACGGAATGTATCTCGCCCGAATTTCTATTTATTGGAATCGGTTTTACGAGCGGATTGTTCAGAAATAAAAGAATTTATCCTTATTTTTCGAAAGGTTGAAAGGAGATATTCAATAAAATATACGGGACATTTACATAAGTGCTCGCTTATCTTCCACCTGTATTTTATCTCTTTACACATAAATCCGCCATGAAAGCAACGCTTGTTTATGAACAGGATGTTATGATGTTGATGATGTATTTATTAAACGTTTGTTAAACATTTGTATCCCTGGTTAATGTCCGGTTAAACCGCGCAAATCGCTGACACAGAATTATGATGAATAAACGCCTCTCTCTTGTTTGTCTCGCACAACTCGCTCGTTCACGTTAATTTGCCGATGACCCTAATAACAGTCCAAAGTCGACTCTTTTCAAACGGAGGTGGCTAATGAGATTTTGGAGTCTGAAGTTATTAATATCTGAAGAATTGAAAACTGAGAGCTCTTTAACTTTATATATATCACTTATTTTTCACACATATTTGTGCAATAAAACGAATTTAATTCGCGTATGAATTCTTTCTTTATTTCACGCAGCGCAATATGGTTCTATTGTCAAATTTTGCCAGTACGAGATTTTGTAAAGAGCCGCTAATATACTAGGAAACTCTGTATCATAGTTTAAGTTTCATTAACTTCCATACGATTTCCCTCACTGCCAAAATGCTCCTCCCGCAGCGGTTGTTCTCGCAATTTCGCGAGTCCGCGAAAACTTTGCGCGTGATATCTCGGACGAAACGAGCGAACGGGCTGTCCGCCCTACACGCGGCGCGAGTACGAGGCGGTTCCTCTTGAGACGATTGCCGGCGAGGTAGGGGACGAAAGGAAGGTTCGGAAGGAGGGAAGAAGGCGCTCGCTTGTGCAAACAGAGGAGCCAGTTTTCGCGCCGCACGCTGCGCGTCGCGTCTGCACCTCCCCGAGATCCATCACCTTTGCGTACCTCCTCCTCCTCCTCCTCCTTCTCCTCCTCCATCTCTTGCCCCCTCTTGCCTCCTCCTACCTTCTTGCTTTTTTTTGCCTCCACCTTTTCCCTCTGTTACTCTGCTCTCTCACCTCTCACGGCACTCAACTGCCGACAACGAGCCTCTCCTGACCAGCGATTACTCAAGCCCCTCTTGCGACTTGGAACGGCGCGGCGTGTGCTGCTGCACGGGGGGATTGAGACACTGTGAGAGAGTCCTTGAGGAGCCATGTACCAGACTTCGAGGAAGAATGCGCCATGACAGATCTTTGGAAGTCTGAAGTCTTCTGAAGCTCCGTTGTCGCGCAACGAATTGTTGTTGAATACCAGCTGATATCTGTTTTCTATTAAATATCAGATAAATTATCATATTGTCAAAATTCCATTAATTTATTAAACAAAATTAAAATCGTACAACGTACGGAGGCATGCCATCTCATGCACAATAGTGATTTTCCGTTCACATATCGGTACTAGTAAATAATTAAAAGAATTACGTAATAATAAAGTATTATTTTTTTAACGTTTAACGCATCTATTAATTAAATCATTGCATTAATATGATGTAATTAATATATTAAATTGTGATTTAAGTAGAATAATATTAGAAGTATACAAGAAGACACGGGAATGTTGAACGAGAGGGAACTAAGCCAATCCGGAATGATAAGTCATAATTCAAGTGCGCGTCAGTTAATAACACGATAATAACTATTATCCACAATCAAGGTAAATAATAATTATCGACTTTTCGTTACTCGTACGCCGAGAGCAAACACAGATGCGATCGACATGACACGCTATACTTATAATTACCGTGACGCGACATACTTACCGCGCTTAAATGATCCCCCAAACACCTCGCGAAGCGTCTGACGTTTGATGTCCCGGAATTGGGTGTCCTTCGGACTGACACCCGCGCGAATTTCGACACGACGGAAAGGGGGGGAAAGCGATAGAGATTTGAACGGGGCGTATTACGAGCGGGGAAATCGGTTGCGCCGGCAGCAGCACCGCGATCGCCCGGACTGGAATTTAATTATTCGAGTCGCGGTGGGCTGTGATTACCGCGTCAGCCCGATAAACCAGACCTTCACCTGTCGCACCTTTGATCCATCCCGTAATACCTCACGTTGCATTCCTGGTCCGTCTTGATGCACCGATGCTCGTCTACTGTGCATCGTCGAGGAGAGGACGCATCCTCGCGCATCGGCCAATCGTGCGTTTAGGTGTTAATGACAGGTTCGCTATTATACCGCGCGCGCTCATAACGAGAGAGAGAGAGCTGCGCGTCTATACGCCGTGTTCTTTCTTGCCTTTCCCTTTTGACTTTTTCTTGCGCTTTACACGGTCGGTACCCGGCCATCTCTCCCTCGCGCGTTGTATTATAGCTTTCATAACGCCGACGCCGCGAAATTGTAGCGCCCCAGTGGTTCTCGGCCCGACGCGTCGTCTCACCTTTGTACCAAGGCCGGCATTACATCAACAGTTAATGGCCATATCGATGCTTCTTGCCGCGATGGTAATCGCGTGTAATTTCCTTTTCTCCGTTTCTCCAAGCTAGGCGAATATCCCTAAGTCTGATAAATTTTTTCAGGTTGCATTGCGAGGCTCGATCGCGAGATAAAACCGTTTAAGTAGTTGGCTTCGACGCGCGATAGAAAAATGCGGGTAGTTGCGAACCTGTAACGAGCGGCGAATTGGTTCCTATATCGCGAGGAGCACGTAGAAGTAATATATGGGATCCATTCTTCTCTCCCTCTACCTTGCTCTTTTCCTCTTACGCGCAGGCCCATCCTACCAGTTATTATCCGGAGTAATCGTGCCTAAAAGCCGGTGCCCGCTTTTGATTAAAATTGGCTTTTAATTCATTTGGCAGCCTCTAATCTCGCGGCGGCTCCGATCAGAGGGAACCAGAGCGAGGGCGACGTGCCGATGGGCCAGGGGTAGGGGGAAGTTGAGGGAGAGAAGACAGAGGTTTGAAGCGAAAAATTTAGTGGCTTCTTCTCTTCATCCTCATACGCGCCGCCGAGCTTGCGCGAGTGCGTCATGAATAAATTCCGATGTCGCACCTTTTTTCGGCAAGATATATTACATCTTGCCGAATCGATCGATTGCGGATAGGCATCGGAATACTTCTTACGTGTAAAGCTCCAGAATTTTGTATATTGCAAATAATATTTGTTATAAAAATAATTTTGCTTTGTAATTGCACTTTTAATTTCTTCTTCTTGTCTTTTTATCTTTTTATCTTTTATCTTTTATCTTTTTCTTCACTTTTTATCTTCTTAATTCAGTCATAGAGTTTGAAAACTCGCAGAATCGTGCAGAATAATTTGTTTTGACGAGTACTTTATTATATTTCATCACAGAAACGTTTCCTCGATTTCACGAAGTATTTCCCTTGATATCAAGATGCTTATTGCGTCCGGCACACGCTCTAGCACTCGGAGGGGGGTGGGGGGAGATTCATCGTCCGAGGAGATCCGTCAAATGGAAGATTGAAATCAACGCGCCGTAGAGACGGCTGTCTCGAAACTCCGCGCGTCTGGCAACTTACTAACAAACGCGTCAGCACTCGAAATGGCGCGCCGGCCTCACTTCCTTTCTTTGATAACGATAACCATCGCTTCGAGACGGAGCGACGGACGGAGTTTCGCCGCGATTGCTTCGGTCGCCGACGATGTCGACGGCGACGAGGTACCGGAAATGTGAAAGTTCGGTAATGGGTAACTGGAGCGAACAAACACGTATAGAGGACTTTGTGAAACGCGCGGGTAACATCGCTCGGGTTGTTATCATCGTATCTTTTTCCGCCATTGTGTGTACCGCAGATATTGCGCGGCGCATACTTAAAATTCCGGTGTCACAAACCGGAAGGAAGGGACCATCGACTCCGTGCTCGATAGTTTCTGACTTATTTGCGAGACCACTGCGATACTTATATTATCATGTAACGCACATTCAGTGTCTCATTATCGATACGCTAGTTTCGCTACGCTCAAATTTCCATATCCCGTACAACTCCCTCAATATTTCTGATAAAGTTTGTATTAAGATAGCGCAGCTATATGTTTGTGTGTTTGTTTTTGTTTCAAACTGGTTTTCATCATAACACCAACCGCTTCGTGAAACATTTTACCGTTTATTAATCGACAAACTGTCCACGGTTAGCTGATTCTCAAAAAAACGAAGTTGTTGACGTCTGTTATCAACTTTATCGGTATTTGTATAAAATCATATTTGTTTTCATGATGATGATAAAAATAATTTCGAGGTTTTATTTTTGCCAATTAATTACCGATTGATTGATCGCAACTGATCGGCTGGAGAGATTACAATTTTCTGATCAAATATCTGATGCATTAAAATTATTAAGTGCAGCATCTGTATCATGTAATTGATGGATTGCTTGAAAAAGTGATTTATAATCTTTTGTTGTTAAAGATTTATTAATTGAGCTTTTATACAATTTTTTTGTCGAATAGCAAAATATATAAAAAATTTTATGATGAAGTTTTGTGATCTAGTCCAGTTGTTTTTATACAAGATAATACTATTCGAGAAACGCTGTTTACTTTGTTGTGCACTTGTCGCTTATTTAAATTGCAAAGTGATTGCGTAATTTATGACTAATTATTCAATTACAAGTGCTCTTGAAATGTATCTCTCAATTACTATTTACAAATTAGTACATCAGTATTCATAAAATCTATCGATCGTCACGTTAAAGGGAGCGTAATCATGTAGGTATTTCTCACAGGGACTCTGTCGAGTCAAATGATAGATAAAAACAATGGTTTCCCTTTAATGATACTATCGGAATCGACATCCCATTGCGAGCTAAATCCAATTAATTAGCGTAAGTGGCGCAATTAATTGGCGCAGACTGCACACCATAGGCTAGTGAGATAGCAGTTTCAGATTAAGTTCTCTGCTTCTCACTTTTTTTTTCGTCTGCGAAGACCCGTGGAAGGCGACAAGGGAAAGAGGTGCAAGTAGGAGAACGGAGGAAGAGGGAGAGAGAGAGAGGAAGAATTAGACGGAGCTGAAGAAGGGCTTTACGAGGCAGTTCGGGGACATTCTTGATTTCGATGTTGGAAGGGAATCCGACGAGAACCACTTGAATTTAACGAGGCTCCACGGCAAATGGGCCACCCTGCAGACTCGCCTCCTTTATTTTCTCTATACTACTGGAACTCATGCCGCACTACTAACCCATGGGCAAACACTCGGTCTTAAGATTGCGCCTTCCGTCACAAAGTTTCCGAGAAACATTGCGATCGGCTCTAGACAAACCTATCAGCGAGAGGACAAAACTTTTGCCTTTCGATCCTTTTCTCATTATGGTTCGTACCATATGTCGAAGCAAAACGGTTTCTTAAACATTATGAACTATTTTTTATTTTAATGTGACCGACGCGAATGAACGGTTTCAAAGATAGTTATAAAATGGCAAATTTATGTTACACACGAAATAAAGGATATAAGATTATTGCATCATTAACATCTTTCCTTTCGTAAATGGAGGGAATGAAAAAGGAGGACTTAATGTAAACTTGAAGTTAATGATATTTTAACTTAACATATCGCGCTTCTGACCCAGTTCTGCTAATGCGTTACAGCAACGAGCACATCGGTAGATATTTCTCGCCTCAGAAATAAAGAGAAAAAGAAAAGAGACGTCCGTCGCGCGCGCGCACCTGTACCTGGTCGGTCCCTTTTTTTTCCCATTCGACGGACAAAGGGTGCCTGCTTCTCGCTCGACGAAATTTCGTAACACCGGAGTAGGAAGAATAAAGGGAAACGGAGAGACAGAAGGAGGAAGATAGAGAGACGGCGCTGCACCGGCTGCACGGTGCAACGTGCACTTCGGGGTCGAGGCACGACAGGATCCGCTAAGTGGCAAAGCATACACCGGACGGTCTGTGCCTCCTTCATTAGCACCAACTAGCCTCGGCGGTAGGCTTAGCCGAGTCTTTTCTTCTTTTCTGCCGGTGCCGAAGAGAGCGCCTGGTAGAGAGGGGCCCGAGCGTCGTTGTAGGTACAACTCGCGCCATAAACCTCGACGAGGTCTCTTCTCGGAAATATGCCAGCGCGCATACCGAAGCACAAAACGGTTCGCTTTGTGCATCCTGTCGCCTGTCCTCCGGGATCGAAGCTCCGCGTTGGTAGAAACTGCGAGAGTTTCTCGAGGTCTCCCTCCGACGTTCTTCCGACGTTATTCTCTTGCATCCACAATGCATATTATTTTACGCGAAGTTGCAACTACTTCCTCTTTCTCGGAAAGGAATAATTTTAGAAATGGTTTTATAAAACCGTTTGCTACATTTTACTGATAAGAGTAATCTTATCTTTGTGTAATATAATTGATGGCTGTATTATTATGATAGTTCAAACGCACAATGAGGTTTCCGTTTCTTTTTATGTTATAGAGATGCTCACCACACAATCGGAAGATTTCAGTAGGAAGCTGTACATCTTTGCGGAGAAGAGCCAACGATACATTTGCTTCAATAAGCGGTGGAAACTCGTCGGCCTGGTAATTACTCGCCTACCAATTAGTAGACATGTTTCATCATCTTAAGTGAGCTCGGGTAGATTTACACGCGCCGGTAAACGCCTCGTATTGTATTGTCCGTAAATTTCTATTCATCACCTACGCGCGGGACTGTAATTTACAAATTGGATTATTAGTAGTTTGATGATTTAAGGCTGCAACGTTTAGAATGTGCATTACAAGCTTCAATTTTACTTAATACATCGTACGTTAAGTACCACCCAGTTTGCTAAAATCTAGAGTACTTTTTCATTATTAATTATTTTTATATTTGGAAATTACGCACAATTTCCATATTTAGAATTTCGTATTTCAAGCAATTTACTAAGATTGCGATTTCTAAAAAAAAAAAAACGTTATTCAATCATGTAATAGTCACAAGATTTGTATGGACATTTTTAATCTTTTGCAGTCTTATATATCTTGCATTGTAATATTTACAGTAATTGTGCATTTTGTCAACAAAATATTTAATTGCTAATGTTAAAAAAAAAAACGAAATATTCAATCCATTTGTGATATTATTTCGGGCTGCAAAGGGTTAATGTCGAAATAGCGGGATGGTATATCGTGAACCGTGGACTATTTATTTGCAGCCGAAGAAACAGAAGGGACCGATGTGCCAGTTTTACGAGGTATACAACGGCTCCTATCTGAGGTACAGGAGCGCCGTCGACGGGACGCGTTACATCGGCTTCAACAAGTTCGGCAAGCCGATGAAGAATCCCCACGGCAGGCAGGAGTGCTTCAACTTCATCAAGTATAACCCTCACGCGGACATAAACCACCACAATAGTCTGGTGAACGCGGAGATGGGCGGCATGGAGCCGCGGGAGCCGTACGTCGTCTCGAGGAAACCGTCGCCGGTGATGAGGGCCACGAAGAACTCCCTGTTGCAGGCCGACAGCGCGAGGGAGCACGTCCACACGTCCACGCATCGCCATCGGCACTCGAATCGCTGGAAGATGCGGCAGGACGGCGGCGGGGACTCGGGACCCCGGAGACGGCACGAGAGCCGCCTCCTCGTCGAGGCCAGCAAGTATTGAGCCGCGTGCGAGCTCGCCGATCAAGACTGCCTCCTCCGTACCCCGTGAGAAAACCTGAGAGATCAGAACTGCCAAATACGCTGGTGGATTCGCACGGTCGGGATGTTCAGGAGCCCACTTTAAATGTCGGCGCCTCATGTGTTCGCGACTCGAAGCACCACGTATTCGTTCGATCGGTCGGCGAATCAAGAGCGCGGGCGCGGCTCGTTCCGAGCACCACCACTCACACACACACACATACACACACGAACACACACACCACACGCGCGCGCGCGCGCGCGCGCGCCTTAAAGCTGCGCCCGTTTAGTTTCCGTTTCCGCCCGCATCGGGAGCCGAAGCAAACGTTCCCGCCGGCGGAGACGGGTGCCGTCGTCGAGATTTAGCGTCCAGATCGGCGGAGGACTTCCGCCGCGAACGAAGCTATCTCAATTTCACGTGGTTAAGTTCGATTTACACTTGCCCCGACTGACCCCCTTCAGGCAAGTATGTACCTCGTAACGTATAAGAGCGTTTTCTTTCTAATCGTTAATTGATTCCTCGTGGCTTTTAATTCGCGCGCGACGAATCGCTCTCGTTATCTCTATCTATCTCTCTCTTTCTGTCTCTTTTTTACTCTCTATCTATCTGTATCTATTTTCTTTTCTCTTAGTCTCGTGACGAAGCGTGGCCAATTAGTAGAGAAAACACCTTTTTTTCGATGCCGTGCGTCGCGGTAAACGTGCGGTACCGCGCCGGCCATGTAAATTCATTCCAGGCCTGTTATCGCCCGGTCGATCGTGTGGCGACGCGAACAGAAAGGAATTCACATCGCGTAGAAATCGTAGCGTAACCGAACGGCTACTGTGCTTCGAGTGCGGTCACCGGCCCGCGATGATAGCGCAAAGAGACGCGCGGACGGCGCACGTCGATGGACACGTGTTTCCCAATTTGCTCGACAGAAATCATCCGTCTTTCGGATATATCGCGAAATACAAAATTACTAGTGCAATTTCGAGATATTAATATAATTCACTTAAACAATGTTTATATACAAAATTCAATCAAGGTGCATCATCAGGCATATTTTAGAAAAAATGTCTCTTGCTTGTTCCTACGATGAAATCTCAATGCAATATCGTATTTTAGCAATAAAAATAAACGCAATAAATTGACAAATTTGTTTGTGTTATACACAAACAAGCGTCTAATATTCATCCAGTCGATTCGATCAAGCGCTTTTCGGTAACAAAATGACGCGTTACCAGGTCGTAACGTATCGGCAACGAAAATCACGATCAATATACAATCGTCAGAATTTCGTTCCTCGACGAATTATAAAGCGGGAACGCTGTCGGCGCTGGTCCAGCGAGGAAATATTTGTCACGTCGCTCGTACGCTCGTACCGTCGCCTGCTCTTACGCTCGCCTGCGCAGTTAGAGCTCACGCCGCGCAAGACTCTCTCGCTCGCTGTGCTAATTACGCCGCCTAACGTAGCGTGCGTGCGTGCGTGCGTGCCTGCCTGCCCGCGTGTATGAATAATGTGTGCGTGCCTGCCTGCGTGCGTACGTGCGTGCTCGCGATGTACACGCAGGCCTTACCGCGCCGCCGACGCACAAACTCGCGCGGCGCGATCGATTAACGAACGTGCCGAGTCCGACAACCGACGACAAGTCCTTCGGTGGGATTTTTCTTTGATAATTCACAATTCTCCGGTTTGCGCCGATCAGATCGTGTATCGGGGATCGTATATTCGGTGTCTTTGAAAATTAATATACGATGTCGTTGTGTGACTTTGAAATAGGAGGAACAAAATGTTTCAGATGCGGGACATTTGAAGGCTTGATATAAACAAGGCTGGAAGTGCCATATATTTAAACAAAGAAAAAAAAAGAAAGGCAAATTACTTTTGTATTTATAGAAGAGCTCTCTACGCTAACGATACAGCAAAAGAGCTGTACATGTAATTTTTGAGAGGATACTTACGGAGATGCCCAGAGACGCGGAGATAAAGAGTATTTTTTCTATACTTTTTCAAGTGAATAAAAATGTAGTTTTTCATTTTTGTACTCTTTCCAAGTGCTCGTCTGTGTTCCTCTATCTCTCAAATACAAGATGACATCGACGAAATTTGACGGCAATATTTTTTTAAAACAATATATTTCACGTGAAATCTTTACCCTGAGACACCTCTCTTCTTTCGTGCATTCGAACGACGGCGATCGGTTAGAACTGCGTGTCCGCGTACGCGAGGGTATATATTGTACTTGTATGCATTCCGCGTGCATACGTATTTCTCGCCTCCGAAACGCGTGTGAGTGCGTGTAATATAATGCATTATCGTTAATGAACTTAATCCTTAGAACGCTATCGCAGACTGTATTATTAGGCTAGGTACGTGAATATATGACGCGGTGGCGATTCGACGAAGGGAACGACCGAGGGGAGCGCCGAGTTCCTCGAGGAGGGAACGTCTTGTGCAATCTTATTTTTCGCTTCTATTTTTTCCGAGCTCGAGTGTCGACCTCCTCTCGCCGTTTTAACTTTTCACAAGGCACAAGGATATGGCACCCCGGAGCGGTTCATTTTCGTAGACTCGCCACGTAAGAAGCGCCTATCCCCCTTTTTCCCCTCTCTCCCCCCTCCCCCTTTCCAAAAAAGAAAGAAAGAAATCGCTCCCTAGGTAGCTTATTTATTGAAATCACGTTTAGGTACTACGAAAGCCGAAAAGTCCGAGAAACCCTTCGAGAAACCCTTGTACGTATATATATGTATATGAAGATATGCGCTGCTCTCTTTTCATCATTTTCATTGCTCACCCTTTTCCCCATCCCCTTTCCCTCTCTATCAGTCACATTTCTTAATTATCATTTCGCGCAACGTCATGTCACAATTGCGGGCCATTCGATACGATGTCATTAATTATTAATTCATCGGGTTTTAGCTTATTTATATCTTTTTTCTAAAAAAAAATCATTTTCAACGTTACAAATCCTTCATAAAGAGATAGTGTGTTACATTTATGTTTAATATTTCATCACGCTTCATCGCTGTAATAAAGAGTAATATTCAAATCATGCCCATTTCTAAGATTTTTAATTAACGTTTTAAATAATTAAAACTTACTTGAGAACACATTTTCTTCACGCCGCGTCCCTTCACTCGTTTAAATTATTAAAATTCACGCTTTTTACGCGAAGTCTGAAAATACTCAATACCTGATTAATTTAATTGCATACGAGTGGCAGTGCATAAGAAAGCTTATTCCTACGGATGATGTTTGTATGTGTGTTAAAAAATGTAGGGAGCAATGTGCACGTAGTAACGTCACGTTTCGTACGACGAATCAAAAATTCAGTCTTGTAACGCATTTCACACAAATTGGACATTCTTTTTTTGGAATCTTTTTATATAATCTACGAAAAAATTCTTATCTCTTTTTACCCCGCAAACCGTCGTTTAATTACGGTAAAATTTGACTTCTTTCGGTGATTCGTTATCGGCACGTGGCGAGTGCAAGCTAAGCACGATAAGATGTCGCGTGTAAACAGAAATTAAACGCCAGCAGATGACCATGAGAAAGGCATAAAATCCGACGCTTATAATTTAATAACAGATAACTAATCTAACGTGTATATGTATTGTATTGTAATATGAGTATTGTAACTCCGCCTCTAAAGAAAAAGAAAATTAACCAACTCGTTTTGTATGTCTAAGCATAGCGTCACGTAGCAAGAATCACCACCGGCGTTCACGGCGCGATGCGGAGGAAAAATGACAGAATAATTTTTATGGAGTATGCGAGTCTCCTCGAAAGCGAGATGTGTCACTGGACTCTGTCGTTCTACGTATTATGTGTAAAAAAAGGAAGACGAAAAGCGCGCATGCGATTCCCGACCAGCGCGTCACACTCTCGCGACCTCATCGAATACACTACTCGTAATCGAGCCATTACTCGGAAATTACTTTCGGGATCGAAGAAAATTTCGTCGATTGTTTGTTATATCGTCTAGTTTGTATATTTTTATATTGGTGAGAAATTTTCGTTCGGTACGTTTAAACTCCGTTAGCGTCACATGACGTTGCGATCATCTTATCATCGCCGCGTGACTCGATTGCGAGCAGAGACCATCACCGCCCGTCCTATAGCCCCCTTCCCCCCTTCCTTTTTTTTACTTTCTCAACCATCGACGAACCAGAAGACAAAAAAAAAACGGCAGATGAAACGAATAGAACACAAGAGATGAATCTGACTATCCCTTTCCCCTCTCCTATAGATAGATAGTATACATACTAAATAAAAAAAGAAAGATAAAATATAAATATTATATATATAAATAAAAATATATGAAAGATGTGTATTGTAAGATATTTAATACCGACTTGTCTTAGGCACACCCGATGACGATCGATAACAATGAAACGATGATAATAATTATTACGATGATTGTTGTATAACGAACGACGACGATGATGATATTCTACACTGTAATTCGCGTTGTAATATAGAGGCCCACCCGTTTACCCACTAAAATCGATGTGTCGATGTACCCTCGGCCGTGCTGTGCTCGTGTGCACATTTCCGAATGGGATGACTCCGAGAGAGGGTGAGAATCGGGGGGGGGGGGGGGGGCTATTGTGCAGGTGCGTCGCGCTTTGGACGACGGCCAATCACAGCCGAACTGAGATTTTTCTACGAGAAGGACCGGGAGCCACTTTCGTAACTGGCCGACGTTCAACGACCGTCGCACTCGCGGGACGGGAAATTAGATCGGTTTCGATCGCGCCTTCGCGCTGCGCGACGTTAATCATCCCGGCTGTAGCGCGAAAGCTACACACGCACACACACACACATACACCCACGCGCTCTCACGTACATACATACAGGTACACACGCACACACTCGCCCTGTTTACGATGTGCAGCAACCTATTACGAACGAGCATAGCACGTCCGGCAGCAACTAGCAATAATATAACATTCCAACTTAAATCGCATATGTACTGCGAATTCTAATAATGTGTGCCGCCATACGAGAAAGAAAAACACTGTCAAATACACGCTCATACACTGCTATTCATCGTATTTATTATCATACCGACTTCTCTTATCCCTCTAATGGCCATAATCGCAGAGTCCGCGCGCAAAACGACGATCGTGAAGGAACGGTAGCTAAACCAGTCTCCGAGAGGCGATAAAGTAGCGGACATACGATTTAGTCCAACGAGTTATGCAAACTGCAGAAACATTTGCGAAAAGAAAGAAAAAGGGGGAAAAAAACGAACGAGAGACGGGTTTGTTCTACGTCTAATGTCTTATATAGCACTCATAACATTATTGCTCTCATTTCTCTCTCCGATTTATCTATAACAATATAATGTATCGTGTAAAAATGTTTCCAAATTTGCTGTTACAGCATGATAAATGTTTTCGCGGTAGAGTTTTTAAATGGCGGCTTCTCGAAAAAGGGAATCCGCCGTGAAGAAGCAGACTCGACTTCATAGGGAACGCCGAATTTCTACCGCCGATGGATTTGTGACGCTGTCAATGTACTCAACCGTCCACTTGAGCCGTCTCTCGAGACCGAAAGTCAAAATCAAACACATTCCGATGATGGCGGCAACGGCCGAGCCGAGAGAGGTTGTTCTATTTGCAGCGGTGGCTTGAGAAAGAATCGGGGTTTCCTTTAGAGAGAGGAAGGAAGAGATGTAGAGAGAAAAAAGATGTGAATCTCTCGTACTCGCCTGATGCTCAAAAAATCTCGAGCTATTTCCCATAAATCTCGCGCTCTACATCTCAACTATCTCCCATTCAAGTGTTTAACTTGAAATCGGCCCGACGAAACCGTTGAGTTGTGCACCCTTCTTATATCCTTACACACAAAGTGCCCGCCCTATCCTTCTCTCTTCCGAATTCGTACCCCTTTTCCTGCCTTTACTCTCTCCCCGGATCCCTCTACGTCAACGTACATTCACGCGTCACCAGGTAGGTTGACAATGTTTCAGGGTGCATAAGTTCCCGCATCTAGATCCCGAGATTACCTTCTTCGGGCGTGCGGCTTTCGTGCGCTCCCCCATCGGAAACTCTATCTTACCGGATAATACCCGTAATCCGCTTTCGTTCGGGCGGGTTGGTGCTCCGGAATTTCACACGAAACGCGCGCACCAGTCAACGGCACAAATAAATGAGGCGTTTAAGACTCGTATTATAAGATTTGTATTATCTAATATGAAATCTATATGTCGTTACTTCTCACACTGTTAAATTCGTAGTGTCAAATTATGCTCAATATGAGTCAATTTTAACTATTCCTGTAGCCACTGCTCTTACTCAATATGTCGTTAATTAAACTAAACCAATGGAGTGGAAATAATATCTATTTTGTGTTTAAAAAATTTGACACACATGATAGTTTAAAAAACAAACAAGGCATTGGTTTAAATTTCATCTTTAAATATTTAACAGTAAAATTTCTAAGCGGCAATTATTTTATTCATTTAGTTGATTCTTTATGCCACGCACAATTATTTGTGTTTAAATTGCCTTTTTTTTAGATGTAAGTATAGATATCATATTGTTAAATATATACTATTAACATTATTGTGCATTGTCACACACAGGAATATAATACTTATAAAAAAAATATTAATATCTCGAATTAAATAAGTTTTTATCATCTTTTCAATAGTTCCGGAATATCTTACAATATTCATTCCTGATACGAAAAGATATCTTGAACAGTTCGTGGATTCACGAACGCGGCGTGGCGGCGCGACGGCGTGCGCCCGCGCGCGAAAAGAGGGTCCAGCGTGGCCTCCAATTAAGATCTCTCAATTAGCGTATCTTATCGCGCTGTTGCTTATCTAACGGCCTGCGCCGGACAGGTTCCCGCGCGTTCCTCCAATTCTCTGGACCAGTCCCGGATCGAGCGGTCGGTCGGTCGGTCTATTTCCCGCGGACGTTGCTTCACCTGCATACACAGGAGGAGCGCGCTTTGTGGCCCCGCAGCAATGCCGCCCTCGTTAAATCGAGTACCGCCGCGCCGGGAGAATATTAAGTCGGCGATTCATTAGAGGGAGATTCTATCGCGCGATCGTTTTCCCTTCTCGTTCGCTACCACCTGTAATCTCGTACTATTTCGTAAGTGGCTTCACGGGAGAACCAGATATGCCCCGCCATGGTTCTCGGACGTATCTTCGCAATTAGACGCGCGTATACATTTAATTATTTCGCGCATTGAATGTCCATTAGACTTCGAAATATTGGTTATTTCCAGTCGATTTAACCGACGCAAATTCACGTTTAACCTGATACATTATTAGTCGCGGCGGGAATGAGCGTTCCGCGTCATTTCTCTGAATACTTAAATAAAATTATTGCATCTAATTATCGTGTCTTTAAGATATAATCGCTATTTTATCGTTCAGATCTGAATTAGATTGTAGCGTGATTTTAACGTTTATAGAGTGTGTAAAAATTTATGAAAAAAATTATTAAAATCGACATTGTTACAATATTATTGACTTGCTTGCAAATTCTTCGTTGCACGGTATGGGGCAAAAATTGTAACTTCCGGTTTGTATTTCTTTTACATGCGGTTTTCTTTTGAAATGTCTCCATTTAAGGGAGCCTTAAAAGGCGGTTGTTCTGGTCCTTCGAAGAGGAGTGACTTGGAGACGTCCATTCAGCAAATTGGTCTCTGAGGCAATACCCGCTGACTGGTGGGATAAAATCCGGACAATTCCGAAAGAACAGTGACAATCCAAGAGCGTAGAGTATAGAATGAGAAAAGACCAGACTCTCTCGGAAAAAGAGAGGTTGAGAAAAGGAAAAGGAAGGATTTCTGTTTTCCATATTTGGACGATCTGGTAGTTTCTTGCAAGGAGCATGTTGCATAATCAAAGTGTCTACAATTTCACGTTTTTGACTTTGACAAACGCTGCAGAAAATTTAATACAATTTGATTTCATCATACAACAATCGTGATTGATGTGAATTTTGTAATATTATTATACTGTATATTTTTTTTACACTTATTAATTACACTTATAGTTTTTATCGATGTCATTATTGAGTTAAAATAAATCACTTGAAAATCTTCGAAATACTCCCACGCAAGATCTTTGATCCAACGTTTGCGCATTTCCACGTCGATATATATTTTTCTTATATCCTGTGTCTACGCGCAGGAAGTTAAATACCAAGAAATGCGAGGAGCTGAAGGAGAAGAAGCTGGTTGAATCACCGTAGTTGCTCTGACAATGAGAAGCTAACCTCGGTAAATATTCGACGGACAGCAGCAGCATCCCCGCGGCATTGTAGAATCTCGTCTGTTCTTTTAATCGCCACCGGATTCTGTCGCGGCTGAATTTATGTGCGGACCTGCCGGGTGGTCACCAACGCGTCACGCAACGCCCCACGAAGAAAATCGGAGGAAATTCCACGTCGATTTTTCGCGCGTTACGCCCCTTCCTTCGCTCACACGAAGAGCAACGGAAGCACCAGGTGGACTTTCTCTCGGTTTTTCACCCTTGGGTCCGCCCCGGTTCTCACCCGGTAAATGCGACTAGTATGCGACTCTTTGGATGATCCGAATGAACGGTTATCCGTGCCAGCGTGAGATCCTTTGTTATACGCCTCACTATAGACGCCGTTCTCAAATATGTTTCAAATTTCATTCACAAGGGATCTCAGTAAAGATTTTGAATATATATTGCGAATATTCCTATTCTTTCATCACTAGCGCCGCTATAGTGCACAAAAAATACGTTATACTACTAATATTAATGTTCCAACGTAATTAAAATAAATTTCCAAAAATAATAATATATCTACATATAATAACTAAATAAAATTAAGTACAGTTATAACTTTATAATAAAATATGTATAAACTGTCAGAAGTTTTTAATAATGAAATAAGTTGCATACGTCGCAACGGTCTCATTTCAACAGGCGCATATTATATTCAAATGCTTCTTTTCTAAATAATATTAAATCTGCAAGATCTGTGACATCGCATCCATCAACTCTGGCATTCACATTCTGTTCTGGAAAAATCGGGCACGACTGAATAAGTGAATAAGTCTGTGTGAATAAAATCTGAATAAGATTTACACTTGGTCAATTTATTATTGATTTGATGGTGTGTGGCCATTGAACGGCTATGGATAAATCTTCGAGAAGCGTTGCTACCTTGTGATCGTCTTGCTACCGGTTCGTCTTAATTGGACCAACCGTATGAGTACACGTATAAATGTTCCGACCGCTTTTTCGGCGATCGGCCTTATCGGCCCATTATCCGTAACGGCGGCTACTCCGTAATCGGAAATATCGTGGATCCTAAATGGTTACGCATAAACGTAGAAGAAAAAGAGAGAGGAGAAGAGAAGTGGAAAACGAGGGGACGAAGGACAACTCGTAAGTTTGAACAAAGTCTACCGATGGGATCGTCATTTTCCGTTAAAGGCCGATCTGGTAAGTCGATAGCGAGAAATGCACTATTTCACGATCAATGATCTCTTCTCAGAGGATTTTAATGGTGATGTTAGGTTTAGAGTGTTGGAATGATGAAAGTTACTATACGTATAGATGAGATAATCATGTTATCGTCTTTTACGCTATTGTACTTAAATTACTCTCATTATCTATACTGAGAGCTATTTACAGTATTATATAATTTTGAATGCAATTGTGTTTTTAATATGCTTAGTGTATAGTATTTTATATTAATAATTTTTACACAGCAAATGTTACTTTAAATCGTTGAATTTTATTTTTATTATTTGCATGATTGAAATAGAGGCTCACATATTGCAATAAATATATGAATTATTAACCTTGACGTCAATGATAATTTTTTCTAATTTTTGTATGATTTATAACATTCATTTTCATGTAAGAAATTTAACATCAATAGAATTCGATTCCTTATTATTCATCATGATACAAGTATATCGAAGTACTTTATTGATTGTTACATGAGTTATTAGAATTCATGATAGCCAAAAATTTATTACGAAAGATAATAACTTAGATACCAATGAATCATCGGTTGTTATTAATTCAAGTAGTA